AAGCTTTCCCAGGGTCTCAGAGTTTGCATGATTCCTAAATACTGATTTATGGTTAAAATAAAATCCTCTGTGGGTCACCTGGGTGGCTCAGTCAGTTAAGCATCTGCCTTCGGCTCAGGTCATGATTTCAGGGTCCTGGGATTGAGCCCCACTGGGCTCCGTGCTCAGCGGGGACTCTGCTTGTCCCTCTGCCCCTCCACCAGCTCATGTGCTCTCTCTCTCTCTCTCTCAAATAAATAAATAATCTTTAAAAAAATTAATAAAAAATCCTTTGTGAAGCTCTCTCTCTCTCCCTCTCTCTCTCTCTATATCAAATCCCATTTTCCAGATTGTCATAAACTTAAACCAAAAAAATAATACAAAATAACCCTGAGATTGAAAAGGCAAGTCACAGATGGGGAGAAGATATTTACAATGTATATCCCAACAAAGAACTCATGTCAAGACTATAAAAAGAACTCCAACAACAGAAAAAAAAATGAGGAAAACTTGACTGGGCAGTTCACCAAACAGGATATTCATCTGATCAGTAAGCCTATTAAAATGTGCATAACAACATTAATCATTGGGGAAATGTAAAACTACAATGAGGGGCGCCTGGGTGGCTCAGTCGTTAAGCGTCTGCCTTCAGCTCAGGTGATGATCCCAGGGTCCTGGGATCGAGCCCCGCATCGGGCTCCCTGCTCAGTGGGAAGCCTGCTTCTCCCTCTCCCACTCCCTCTGCTTGTGTTCCCTCTCTTTCTGTGTCTCTCTCTCTGTCAAATAAACAAATAAAAATCTTAAAAAAAAACTACAATGAGAAAATTTTTAAAAATAATAAGATATCTCTGCATACCTACTAATAGCTAAAATCAGAGAATGATAACATCAAATTTTACTATGGATGCAGGACAACTGGAACTTATATATTGCTGGTATGTGAGAAAAATAATACCATCATTTTAGAAAACTTTTGCTAGTATCTACTAAAATTAAATATGTTTACCTTATCACCCAGCAATTCCAATATATGGTATAAACATTCAAGAGAAATCAGTGCCAGTGTAGCCATTGTAGAAACAGTACAGAGGTTTCTCAAAAAGTTAAAAATAGAACTGCCTTATGATCCCACAGTTGCACTATGGGGTATTTACCCAAAGAATACAAAAACACTAATTCAAAGAGATACATGCACCCTGATGTTTATTGCAACGTAATCTACAATAGTCAAAGTACAGAAGCAGCCCAAGTGTCCACTGACGATGGATAAAGAGGATGTGGTTAGACATTTGAAAAATTCACTTAAGACTTGTGCACTTTACTCTGTATGATACTTTAAAAAATATTCTCTAGTCTTTGACCAAACAACGTAAATCATTCTATCATACTTCGGCAAAACAAGATGAAGGACCACTGAAAAGGAAAGACTTTCATATTTGAAATAAACTGACATGTCAAAGTAAGATCAAATTCAGGGTTCTTCGGTGTTGGTTGTTGTATTATGCTTTTATTTAGTAGAGAAAAGTTTATTTGGAATTTGAACAGATTTGTCTATTTTCCCCTGCTCTTTAATTTACTCAGTTGTTTAATTATATAAATATGGTCTCATGATTATTTATTTTATACTTTGAGATTAATCTAACACTACATTATTTACTTTGTTACACCAATTGTTAAAGCTTTAGCTATTGGTAGCTTTTTCATTTGGCCCTCTTTGAAATACACTCATCATTGTGGGATTTTTTTTTTTTATGTTTGTATTTGATTGTTTGTTTTTTAGCACTTCTATACTTTCTGTTACTACAAGGTGCTCCAGGAAGAAAAAATTACATTTTTTTAAGTGTTGACAGTAAGCTTGGTAATTTGGAGTACCTTATAAAAGTCAGGGCCATGTCTGATTCCCTTAGGAATGGAGCATTCCTCAATTTAATGCATATGGTGAATACTCCTAATTCAGGCCAGACATATTGCTAAAATAGCTCATTGTAACAATTGCCATAAAGAATCTGGATGGAAATTAGAGATATTAATAACTTAACTGTGTGTCTTAGTTAAGACAGTGTGCTATAAGGAACTGTGATTGATGGAGGAGGAGCTTTAAAAGTCTTGTTTTACATATAGAGAGATATTAATAACTTAATTAAATATGTTCTCTAAGAAAATGTGCTATAAAGAAATGTGATTGATGGAAAAGAGCTTTTAAAAGTTTTGCTTCAGTTCTAGACTCACATGATTGCAAGCCAATTTCATGGGAAGAGAGAGGGCTTTTAAATGCAAATAACTTTCTGTCTAATTACATTTTTTTCTTATCAAATGCTTGTTAGAATTTATAGTTTCAATCTGATAGTTGTCACATTGGAGGTAAAAGTTCCAAAGAGAGAGAGAAAATTAATGGATTCCTTTAAGCCGTAACAATAATATGAAATTATCCCTGTGGTGTTATAATCAAGGCAGTTACAATAGGTGTACCTGAATATGCAATGCAACATAGAAAAAGTTATTCATATAAATAAAGAACAGCTAACTTGTTTATAAAATATACTTCTAATTATTTTCTAAAATAAAGGGTGAGAGAACAATGAAGAGAAAAAAGTGTGTTTGAATCCAATAACACAGATAAAAGAATTCTCTATTTTATTATTTTTCTTTGAAAATTCTTCTTTTCTCTGCAACCTGACTTATGTTCATTTTCCTCCACAGTATTCTTCCATGCCATTTTACAGGTGAAATCATTAACTCAAACAATCAATCTGGTCCTTTTAATGACCTCTCTGTCTTCTTTCAATTCATGAACCTTGAGCAGTTCACCTTTTATCTTCATGAAGTTTTTGTATAGAAGGATTATGAATAATAAAAAACACATTTTTATACACCAGAGACTTTTTTCTCAAGCTGTTTGCTTTAGAGAGCTTTCTAGGAGTTTTAAGTAAATATCTCCCAATGGGAAAAAATCCCTCATCTTTGTGAGCACTTTTTTCCACTGCAGAAACTCCATCTTCCTTCTTTCCTTCCCTTCCTTCTCCTATTCTCCTTCATTCCACTTTCTCTACCTGCATGCATATTTACTGAGCGTGAACTACATGCGAAACCTTACTGTAGGCCCACCCCCACCACTGCTCTTCAGCACCAGTTAAAATTAACCACAAGTTGTCCTCAGTACAACCACCCATGGAGTCAGCTGAACATTATTTGAGCTTGGATGATGCTACATGAGGTATCTTTCTCTTGTTTTTTGTTGCTATGTTCCCTTTTTGCTTATTACAGCTGTTTTAAATATTTTACCATCCTCCGCGAAGCCCCACCATTAGAGAATCTTTGCTCTGCTGAACTGACAAGATATTGTTAAAGATGAAATACCTTCTTTTCCATGGTGGACCCCAAATTTTGTGCCCCCTGTATCAGCTGGAATTTTCTTACCTATTCCAAAATAAGGTCAGGTCATTTCATGAAGCAAGATTGAGGAAACTTTTTTTCCTCAGTCTTAGAATCTATTAGTTTATGTAACATATCTTCCCAAACAAGAATTCAGATCTCAGCTTTTGTTAATACCTCCAATTTTTTTTTGCCCTTTTCCCACATTTTTTTTAAAGATTTTATTTATTTATTTGACAGAGAGAGAGATAGCGAGAGCAGGAACACAAGCAGGGGGAGTGGGAAAGGGAGAAGCAGGCTTCCAGCCGAGCAGGGAGCCCGATGCAGGGCTCGATTCCAGGACCCTGGGATCATGACCTGAGCTGAAGGCAGACGCTTAACGACTGAGCCACCCATGTGCCCCTTTTCCAACTTTTTAGCAGGATTTCCTTCAGTATCTATGTCTCTTAAAAGAGATCACAAATTCAGGGTTAACCCTTTTCCTTTGGAGCTCATTGGAGAAGAAATTTTTGAGAAATGGCATTGTGGTAAAATTTAGGTTCCTACTATTTATCCCTTTACATATCTGACTTGCAAGATTAAAAATGGTTGGTCCCAGGGTCAACTGGGTGGTTCAGCCAGTTAAACGTCTGCCTTTGGCTCAGGTCATGATCTCACCGTCCCGGGATCCAGCCCCACGTAGGGCTCCAGCCCCATGTCAGGCTCCCTGCTCAGCCAAGAGTCTGCTTCTCCCTCTGCCCCTCCCCCCTGCCTGTGTGCTCATGTTTTCTCTTTCTCTCTCTTTCAAATAAATAAGTAAAATCTTAAAAAAAAAAAAACCAGTTGGTCCCATATCTCTATTTTGGTCCAAAGAGATAGCACTATGTCTAATCTGGACCACATCTACAGAATGAAATCAAATGTGTAAGTCTAATTCAGAATTGGCCTGGTTCCAGCAATAAAACAAACAAACAATTCAGGAAAAGGAAAATATGGTCCCTCCAGTCTAAAGCCCAGAAGGCTTAAAAAAGAGTGATTTTCTGATCTAGCCCAGAAACAGATGGAATTTACAATTATAGATTATAGTTAGATTAGAGTCTTCTTTGTATAACCTTTCTTCCACACCCCATTGTCCTCACTTTAATGTGAATAACATTAAGAAAAAAAACCATTAAAATGCTTGTCTGGCAGCTGGGCCTTTGTTTCAGAATTCTGGTCAGTAGGTGCAAGTTAGATTGTTCAACACAATGGAGCACAAAAGCAGTAATATTATAGCTAACAAGAGGTAGGTAGTGTGGCTTCTTTTCTTCATAAAACAAGATAAAAGGGAGACTAAAACTCTTCCACATTTGAGTTCTAATTTTATATGAAGTATAGTAAAGGAATTGGAAGTTATAAAAGGTAAGACATATATATTTAATTCACATTTACTTAATGTTTAATATATGCCTATGCTGAACTAGGTGCTTGGAATACAAAGTTCCAACACAAAAATAAAACATAATTTCTGGCTTTGAAGAGATATGCAGATTATTAGAATTTGTGTGTCTTTGGTTGTGAACTTAAATTGCAATATTGAGCTATATTGTAGATTTTAATGTAAGCATATGCTTTTCTTCCTGATATGATTAATATCTCTCTTCATATTTGTCTGCCCTTGCCATCTTTAGGAGATCGTCAACTTCAACTGTCGGAAGCTAGTGGCTACCATGCCTCTGTTTGCTAATGCCGATCCCAATTTTGTGACTGCCATGCTGAGCAAGTTGAGATTTGAGGTGTTTCAACCTGGAGATTACATCATACGAGAAGGAGCTGTGGGTAAAAAAATGTATTTCATTCAACATGGCGTTGCTGGTGTCATCACAAAATCCAGTAAAGAAATGAAGCTGACAGACGGCTCTTACTTTGGAGGTTAGTGAACAAGAAAATGCAACTGAGCCAAACGTTGCTTTGGTTATGTGTCTTTCTCAGAATTTTGGAGATATCAGAATGTTGATTTGTGGGTTTTGACTATGAACTTGTATTTGAATTCTGATAAAAGTGTCTATAATGGTATGTTTTCACATTTCAGTGTCACATGCTCAGTGTGTGTACATTTACTACTGTGTTAGTTGGAGTATCTTTTTACCTTCGCAAACTAGACTGGCTTAAACCAGATGGAAAGTATATTTTTATGGGAGATGGCTCTCCCCAAGACAGTTTTCAGGAGCACAGATTTCATTTATTTTGTTGGTCTGCCATCCTCTAGAGTGATTTTCTCATTTATACAAGAGGAACTGGTTCCTCTCCATCATGTTAGATATAGCCCACAGGAGGGGGAGAAGGGGACAGAGGAAGTGAAGATTGAGCAGCTTCTCTTTAGAGGTGTACCTAAAATTGTCACTATCAGTGCTTATTTACATCCAGTTGGCCAGAATTTAGTTACAAGAGTACCTCTAGGTGTAAGAAAGGCTGAGGAATGTAGCCTCTAGTGGAGTGGTGTGAAAGTCAGGGTTCTCCAGAGAAACAGAGCCAATAGAAGAATATATATACAAAAGGAGAGTTATTATGAGGCATTGGCTTATGCGAATATGGAGGCTGACACGTCTTGTGATTGGCCATTGAAAAGCTGGAGACCCAGGAAAACTGGTGGTAGAAGCTAGTCTGGCTCCCAAGGTTGGGAACGAGAGGAGTCGAAGGTGTACATCCCAGTCTGAAGGCAGAAGATGAGATGAGATGTTAGCTCAAGATAGGAAAAGAGGGTCGTACTCCCCCCTCCTCCTACTTTTGTTCTTTTCACACCTCCAGTGGTTTGGATGATGCCCACTCACATTGGGGAGGGCAATATACTGAGTCCACTGATCCAAATGCTAATCTTATCTGGAAACACCCTCACAGACACATCCAAAAATTATGTTCAATCTGGACACCCCATGGCCAATCAAGTTGATACCTAAAACTTACTGTTGTTAAGTGGAAATTTGCCTTGCTAAAAACCCTGAAAATTCTAATTGTTTCCAACTTTTTGCTATTATCGGATATATCTTGATATTTGTGCACATGTATAAAACTTGCCTAGAAGTTGAATAACTAGGTCAAAAACTATACATATTTTTAAACTGAGATAAACACCAAATTGTTTCTTTGCTGAGACTGCCTGTGTCTACATGCCTTGCCAATTCATTTTGACTTTTGTCCTCTTAATAAGTAAAAATGGCATCCCTTACTTGTTTAGTGTGCATTTCCATTATTAATATTGAGGTTGAAGTGTTCATAGATTTCTTCATCATTTGTATTTTATTTTTTCTGTTTCTATTCTTTGCATATTTTTCTAATATGTTTTTTGCCTTTTTAAAACCAATTATAGCAACATTCCTAATGTATTTTTGATAGGCTATAACTATTTTTTTCGAGACTGTTATTTCTTTTCTATCTTTATAACTTTCCTTTCATCATTCTGATCTTCATTTATTGTTGATTTGATATGAACCTGCCTCTCCTTTCCCTTAAGGTGTCAGAGATTTTGTGTTCCTTAGGTGGGTTTTGTACACTGCAAAATTATAAAAATGTTTTCCATCTTTACCTCTATTTTATTTAGTTTTGCATCTTGTTACTATTTTATCATAGTTTGCTATATTTATTATACATACCTCAATTACATTTTTATTTTAGTTGTAACCCACCCAGCATATATTTGTGAATATAGTGTGAGGTAAGATTCTGTATTTTTCCCCAAAAGAGGTAAGTTCTCCACCATCATATATGGAAGATTTCATCCTTTCTGTAAAACGTTAAAATATTTCTTTAATAATATGCTGATATAATATACACTATGGTGACGATAGCAATACTGTATTGCATATTTGAAAGATGCTAAGAAAGTAGATCTTTAAAGCTCTCATCACAAAAAAATCATTTTGTAACTATAAATGGTGACAGATGTTACCTTGACTTATTGTGGTGATCATTTCTCAATATATATAAATATCAAACTATTATGTTGTTGTCATGAGCACGCTAGGAAAGCACACACATGAGCTGTGTCTTTCCATAATGCCAGCCTTATTCATCATAAAGCAAGGTTAACATAATTACAAAGCAGGTTCAGGATTCCAAACTCAGTGACATTTCACTCTTTGTTTAACTTTGCTTCTTACTCGTCACACAAAACAAAGCACAAGACGAGTTACACAACAAACAAGATAGTACAGGAAGTAGGAAGTTAAGGAACCAAACATGAAGTCAGTCTGTGAGCACGCAGTTGAGATAAGGCCTCGGTCTGGTCCGGGTCAGCCCTCAGCATGTGCTGCTTATTACGTCCAAGCAGTGGAGGATCTCTGTTCTGTTCAGAGATCAGTCGGGCAGAGCTTCAGTGGCGGCTGCCTTTTTGATGTGGTCAGGTGTGAAAGGATCAGTGTCTTGAAAGTCTGATAGTTTGCTGCAAAAATCTTCCTTTTTTAAAGGGATTTAATCTGTCTTGGGCCTTTGCAAATCTCCTCTGGTTCTGCTCATCATCAGTTCTGAGTGTGTCATCAGCTTGTGCTAATTTTGGCGGTATCTGGTCTTAGCTGCAACGCCTTTGGTTCTTGGGTCACTGATTGACATAAGTCACTGCTTGACGTGGGTGATTCCTGTTACTCTCTGTAGTTGTATCCCTGAAACTAACATACTGTGTCAATTACATCTCAAAAAAAATGGGGGGAATCCTGGGATGGGGGGATATATATCTCCACTTGATTTTTATATATCAGGAAGAAAACCATATATTCTGTACATTTTCTAGTATACATGCAGATTCACAGAGGGGCTTTAATCATCCTAATCAAAGATGCTTCCAGATAGTGTTGAGACAAAAGTAAAAAACTACAGAGGAGCCAATATGCTAATATATGGCCATTAGAGGCTCTTTTGCATAGAGGAAATAATGTTAGAATAAGCAGAAGGGGGACACTATTTTTTCCTTCATTTCTTTTCTTAGTTTCTACCAATTCTGTTAAAACATTGGAAACTTAATGATTAATATTAGACCTCCGGTACTACAGTATCAGGACTTGGCGAGCTTAATGTTTAAATATTCTTCAACACCAAGAAACTGAAATGTTTTTCTTAGGAAAAGGCAGGAAGTCTGTCTTCAAATATCTGGAGGTTTATCCTGTAAGAGGCAATTCAAATGAAACTCTTTTCCTTTTCATAAGTGAGGTATAGAATAAGTGGTTCTTACTACTTTGTGTTCATCTTTCACAGACTTTATAATATGCCATCTCTTCAGAAGGCTTCTCAGTCAGAATCAATGTCTCCCACCTTTGTGTCTCCATAGTACTTCTCATAGCTTTCCAGGGTCCTGGTCTCAGTTGGCCTCACACTGAAATTAATAGTGTAGTTGCCTGTCTTCCCTCTGATATTCAGTGTGTACGTCAGAATCAGTAGAGTGCTGTTTAAAGCCCAAGATGCTCAGGCCCCACCCATCAGGGATTCTGAATCAGTAAGTCCAGACTGGAGACAAATTTTTATTTGTTCATTAGAGACTCATCAACCAGTATATCTGATTCCCTTTAAAAAAAAAAAAATCAGTAATGATTAAAAAAGTGTTCAAATCAGGGCGCCTGGGTGGCTCAGTTGGTTAAGCGGCTGCTTTCGGCTCAGGTCATGATCCTGGAGTCCCGGGATCGAGTCCCACATCGGGCTCCCTGCTCGGTGGGGAGTCTGCTTCTCCCTCTGACCCTCTTCCCTCTCATGCTCTCTTTCTCTCTCTCAAATAAATAAATAAAACCTTTAAAAAAAAAAAGTGTTCAAATCAAATTAGTAGTTGAAAAAAAGGCAATGAATTTCATTTTGTCATATATAAATAAATATATGCTGAGTTTGAGAAATGTTCTTCAATAACTGCTAAGAAATACTAGGAAAGGCTTTGAATTTTATTAAATGCTTTTTTTTGGAACATATCAAAATAACCATAAGGTTCTTATCCATTAGCCTATTGTGGCTGAATAAAATATATCAACTCAAGATAATTAGCTTCCTTGACTTTCCCTCTCACCCATGAAAGATACTTTTGAAGCTTCCAGCTTCCCCTTCTTCCCACTCTTTGTCATGATTCTGTGCTGCCTAGTTAGCCCCTTAGCCTTTTGTGGCAGATTGTTCTAAGGAAGAAGAGATTTGGAAAAGCTAAGACCAAAAAAAAAAAAAAAATCTACTTTAGAAAGCACAGAGCATTAATGTTCAAAAAAAGAAAAAAGAGTAACTGAAAGCTGACAGGGTAAAAAATAAAAGTGTACATGTACAGGCCAAGTGTGAGGGAAGGTGGTTTGGGAGGGGAAACATTTTTGAGGCCATTAATGGGGGTGTGATAAATATGTAGAAGAAACATCTGGAAAGGATTTTCTGGAAGTGTTATGCATTAAGACTGTATTTTTACATTTGACATACGTTTTGTCAATTCAAAGGAGCTTTGAATTACTATGTAGTTATATTTGCTAATATGACTAAGGTTTTATACAAACACTGGAACACTTGTCTCCCTGGATTTATCTGGTTACACTATTAGGAAAGTCAATTACAGTAATGAAGATCCTTGTGTTGAGCCATAAGACCGTTTCTGGGATAAAAACTACTTTGTCCTGATGTATTATTGTTTTTAACACATTGTAGCATCTCTATAAGTTAAATTGGGCTGTTATTTATTGTTTTGGTGGTTATTTTTGTGATCCCCTAGCTAATTTTGGATATCAGGTTTTGTTTACTTCTTGGAGAGAGTAAGAAAACTTTTTTAAAAAATGTATTCTCTATTTTAAGGAGGTTTAAACAATCTAGGCATTACCTGTCACTTGAAGTTGTCTTAGGTTTCACAAGTAAAGCACTGTGTCTGATTCTCTGTCTTCTATGGTTATTAAAGTCCTCCAGCTTTCTACTTCTTTATGAGCAATCATTCAGTT